AACAGTTCTAGAATTTATTATTATCACTTGAGACCTCTCCTCGCCAAAAACTAAGTTAAACTACTAGTTTATTGAAGTTTATATGTAAAAAAAATAATACACCACTTAAAAAAGAGATATGTCAATCCCAAAAGAGTAAAATGCATTTCAGAGATTCGTATTTGTTGATTTTAATTTAATTTGAGTTATCTTTGTGTTTGCGTTTCAAAGCTTTGTACTTGTCAATTTTAATTTGTGTTTGTTTTTAACTTTTATAACTTCAAAACCAATTCGTCCGCGTACGTGTAGAAAATTTAAAGTACGTATAGAAACTTGGAATGGCCTTATCATAACTTGTGTTACAGACCTTGAAAAATTTTGCTTCAAATTAATTAAAAACCGTGAATCTCCGAAGGCTTTTATAAAAAGGATGTGCGATTTGTTTAGATCCATTTTCGATGAAAATATTTTATATAGCCAATGCTTGTAATTTAATCTTAGAGACAAACACGCTACTTTGCATGTACATACTCATAATTTGATTAACATAATCGAAAATTACATGCTTACATCTGCGTAGTGCATAAGAATTCTCGGGAAGGGATTCGGAAGCCTTTAGTACATTCTAACGGGCATAATTCTCTAAAACTAAAGTTATAAAACTAAGGATATAATATTATGTGTATGATTAACATACAGAGTTTATCCATGTCAGCTATGAAAATCTGCGCGTGTCGTCTTCAAAGCAATGCTGTATGAAGCGGCAGTCAATCGATCAGTAAAAGATCGATCAACGACACAGTCGAGTGCAAGCCATTGGAAAGGGATGTATTTAGTTTTAAATCAAATTCTTGATAGAATTTTTCTTATTGTTACTCATTACAGTACATGTATAACTTGATTATCATTACACCCCCCCCCCCCCCTTCTATATAAATGGAAACAAAATACAAATAATCGAAATGCAGAATAACAGAACACTCACATAGAAGAATCAAAATTCATTTTCACGTCCCTTTTCATAAGCTACATAGAGATTTCATTTCTAGTTCAGATATCAAATTATACGAAATCTGATGTTATTTTTTACTTGTGGGAACAATACGTAAAACACGTCACAGTGCTTCTTTATAGAATTATCCTTCTCATTCCCGGATTAAAGCTTGATTAAGTTTCTTTTTCATGTTAGTGTCTGATTAAGAAAAATCTTTTAAAATATACCTAAAAAACTGCTGACATGTATTGTGTGACGACACATATACTAAGACAAAAACTGCATTAAAATAGATGATAAATTGCTTTAGAACTCCTCCTGATGTTTACATGTTACACAACCGTAGGTAAGATATTTGATATATTTTGGTGACAATGATGATTTTATCACTTCCTTTGGATACATCAACTCTCTGAGGCATTTCCTTCGCAATTCTGTACATTTGTCCTTATAGTAACAAAAATACCTTTAATATTTTTTTTCTGGAAAGGATTATCATCATAGACGGACGTTGAATCTTTAAAATTCAGAGATAATGTGCACCGTTTTCACAGAGGGATATTGGGCAGGACCCACATCCCCTCCTCCAGCCCCGATGAACATCCATTCGAAAACTGAACATATTTCCTATGACATACTTAATGTATTATTTCATGGATAATCTGGATAAAATCCTTTTACAAAGATTTACAATAGTGTACATGTAGTTAATATGTACATTCCTTTATTAAACAGATAAATATCTAAAGAGTAATCTTTTTTTTTTCATTTCTGGACTTGGAATGCCTTAAAAATGTATTAGGAAAATAATTTCTGGAAAAAAAAAATCGAGTTAAACCATCGATTATGGAGCGGAAAAGGGGGGTGTCTTGTCCACAAGTATAATGCATGATCGTGTTTGTATTTCTTACAGAACTGGAAACAGATAATCTTTATTTATAGACAATAAAAAAGGTTGATTGTATCATGTTTCACTTAAATTTTCGTAGAAAATGCCAAATGCGTTCACCACTGTATACGTTTTTAAGCCTTATAAACTTGGTTTGTCAACATAATTATACCCCCGCTCCGAAGTAGAGGGGGGTATACTGTTTTACCCCTGTGTGTCTGTCTGTCTGTCTGTCTGTCCGTAACAATTTTTCGTCGCATTTTTCTCAGCAACTATTCAAGGCAGATGCTTGAAATTTTAGCACACACTTTATTTAGGCATGGTATATGGTGGGATTCATTTTTGTACAAATCTGTTGTCAACTTCCTGTTTGTCCGTGCATCTGTCCTTACCAAATTTTCGTCGCAGTTTTCTCAGCAACTACTCAAGCCAGATGCTTGAAATTTTAGCACACACTTTCTTTAGGCATGGCATATGGTGGGATTCATTTTTGTACGAATCGGATGTCAACTCCCTGTTTGTCTGTGCATCTGTCCTTACCAAATTTTCGTCGCAGTTTTCTCACCAACTGCTTATTCATCGCAGTTTAGGCATGGCACATGCAGGGACTCATTTATGTAATCCTATTTATTTTTATCATTATTTTATCTTTTTAGATGCCAAAGACAAAGACTTCACAGATGAAGATCATTATATTGTTATCACATGATGCTCAGCTGATTCATGATTAATGTTTAATTTAACTCATTGTCATTTTTTCATACAGATATTTATTCTTTAATAATGTATCATATTAATTGAATAACTTCTTATTGAATTGTTCTTTTATTTTCACGTTTGTTTTCATACAGTTAATAATTTTTAAATATATACATGATATCAGCTTGGCATTTCATGTGGTAACATTTTAGCAAAAATATTAAAAGTTGTTACTTGTTTCCAGACTAACCTTTTAGAAAGAAAAAGTCTACAGATCAAAGAATAAAGGAAAGAAGAAAGTGTGCAAGGGATAAAAAAAATGATTCAAAATTATCCCCCAGTAATCAGTTGAGATCAACAGATTGTGTTGAAACTTTTGATTCATCCAAACCTTGTATTACTTCAAAAACTAAAGATGCACCAGAATCTTCTGCTAATATTGAAGATGATTCAAAGTGTAAAAGAGGGAAAAAAGATACTTCCCAACCATCTATCAGTAAACAGATGCAATCAACAGATTGTGTGAAAACTTTCTATTCAGTATCTTCTGCCAATGTTAAAACAGAACATCAAAAAGAAACTGGAGTAGCACAATATTCTTTTATTGAAAGAGAAATAATGAAACAGAGACAATGGAAACTTCAAATGATGAACAGTTACAAAAATATGGGTGATTCCCATGTAGTGTCAAAAAGGAAAGGGGTCAAAAGGAAGTTATCCAATATAAACAATGATTCTCAGGTAGGCTGTAACATTCCAAGTAGTAGAGTGAAGAAGAGTACATCTTCTAATCCTAATAATGTGCGAGTAGTCAATTGGAGAAAAACCATCCCTGAAGCTAAAAAAAACGTATTTAAAATAATGGATAAGGAAAGAAAAGCAAACAAAAGGAAAAATCCTGATGATGATGCAAAAGCTGAAATTAAACAGAAAGACAAAAAACAAAAGCAAGAGAAAAGAAAAACACTTGATAAAGAGGCCAAAGCTAAAATCAATCAAAAAGACAAAGAACAAAAGCAAGAGAAAAGAAAAGCACTTGGTGAAGAGGCCAAAATGAAAATTAAACAGAAAGACAAAATACAAAAGCAAGAGAAAAGAAAAACACTTGGTGAAGAGGCCAAAATGAAAATTAAACAGAAAGACAAAATACAAAAGCAAGAGAAAAGAAAAACACTTGTTGAAGAGGCCAAAATGAAAATCAATCAAAAAGACAAAGAACAAAAGCAAGAGAAAAGAAAAGCACTTGGTGAAGAGGCCAAAATGAAAATTAAACAGAAAGACAAAATACAAAAGCAAGAGAAAAGAAAAACACTTGATGAAGAGGCCAAAATGAAAATCAATCAAAAAGACAAAGAACAAAAGCAAGAGAAAAGAAAAACACTTGGTAAAGAGGCCAAAATGAAAATTAAACAGAAAGACAAAAAACAAAAGGAAGAGAAAAGAAAAACACTTGATGAATTTGCAAAATCTAACACACGGAAAAAAAAAAAAACAGAAATCAAATGAAGGAACAAAGAGCAGCAAAAACATCTGAAGCTTACAATGCAATACAAACTTTTCTGCAGATGATCAAACAAGGACCAACATATATATGTTCTGTTTGCCATAGACTAATGTACAGGGAATGTGTTGTTTTGTACAATGAAAATGTCTTTACTATGTGTGACAAAGAATTGGTAGAAACATGCAATACACAAAAGAAAAGTATTGATGGGGAACAGTACATTTGCACTACCTGCACATGGAATTTGAAACGTAATATGATGCCTATGCAAGCTGTGGCAAATTCATTAACTCTAGATGATTTACCAGAACAGTTAAGAGATTTGTCAACATTAGAATCAACCTTAATAAGCAAAAGGATTCCTTTATGAAAATCCTTGCTCTGCCCCGTGGTAAGCAGAAGGCAGTACACGGATGCGTGGTAAATGTGCCAGTAAATCCAGAGGAGACCTGTTCCATATTGCCTCATCTTCCTCATGTATAACAGTGAAACTGAAACGTAAGATAGAGTATAGAGGTCATGTTATTGTTCAGTCAATAAGACCTTGGAAAATTATGAAATCCTTACAACATCTTAAGAATGTACAACAGAATCCTCATTACTAGGACATCATAATCAATGATAACTGGCCAGAAGACAGCAGTGAAGATAATCCACATCTATGGGAGGCTCTAACGAGCAATAGGACATCAGACAATGGTACTACACTACGTTTTACCTAGTGAATCCAATGAGATGGATCAACCGTCAGAAGAAGGCCAGGAATCAGACGATGAAGGAAGTGACAATGAAATAGAAGATCGATCAGAAGCAAATGGTTTGCCTTTTGATTCTTGTTTACAACCAAGAGACATTAGTGCAGACAAAGACTTTTTATTGAATTTAGCACCAGGTGAAGGCCAATAGGGCTATTTGCAGATAAACATAGTGAAGAAATGGCCTTTCCTACATTATTTCCTAAAGGAACATTTGGATTTGACTGTCAGCGTGACAGACCAATTTCATTAGTAAAATACTTCAATCAGAGAATTCTCAATTGTGACAACCGCTTTGCAGCCTCCACAGAGTATTTGTTTTATGCTCAATACCGAAGTGAAGCTAAAAAAGTTGCTGACTGTCTAAGTATTGCCATGAGAAAATGTAAAGGACAACATCAGGTACAGAAAATAACAGCAGGCCAGATAAAGAATGCTGAAGACATAAGACGCTTAGCCCGCTCTGACCTTAGCTATCATTTCCTACAAAATGTTCGTGGGTCACCAGCCTTCTTTAACAAATTATTGTATGATCTTTTGGGTATGATAAGACAACTGGGAAGCTGTACATGGTTCCTAACATTGTCCTCTGCTGATATGAAGTGGAAAGATACAATTCAAGTGATAGCTGCACAACATAATCAAAAAATGTCAGATGAACAAGTAGAAAACATGACTTGGGAACAAAAAAGCACTTGGTTACGAACTAATCCTGTTACAGCTGCTAGGCATTTCGATCATAGGCTTCAGCTCTTTATGTCAACACTAGTTCTAGGAAAGTCGAAACCCATCGGAGAAATACAAGATTTCAAATACAGGATAGAATTCCAGCAAAGGGGATCACCCCATTGTCATATGCTACTGTGGGTTAAAAACGCACCTTCAATATCACAAAACTCTCCTGAAGATGTAACTGCCTTCATTGATCAATATGTTTCATGTACAATTCCACAAGATGATCATCTTGCATCTCTGATTCAAACTGTTCAACGCCATGTTCACTCTTTCACATGCAAAACCCATGGAACAAAATGTGGTGTTTCCACCAAAGGATATACCAGACAAACGAACACAGACAATCTACACAGAGTTGTTGACAGCAGTTATGGGTAAACTGGAAGATGTACAACATGATCCAGAAGTTACATTAGAAGCTTTGTTAGAACAATTTGAAATTCCTGAAGCTATGTATATGAAAGCATTAACCTGGATAAAAACAAAGCAAGGCCAGCCTGCTGTACTGTACAGACGTAATCCATCTGACTGTTTTATTAACAATTACAGCCCAACCCTGATGAAAGCCTGGCAGGCAAACCTTGACCTTCAGTATGTCACGAATGTTTATGCCTGTATAATGTATGTGGCATCATATGTAAGCAAACCAGAAAAAACATTGGGTGATGTCTTAAAGTCTGTTAGTAAGAACTCAGCACCAGCTGGTCCAAAGAAGATGATGGAGACTGTATCTAAGAAGTTCCTTTCCCATCGTGAAGTCAGTGCCCAAGAGGCAGTGTACAGATTATTGCCATTACCACTCACTAAAGGATCACGGCAGGTCATTTTCCTTCATACAGATTTAGCTGAGAATAGGACAAAACTTTTGAAACCCATGAAAGTTATACAGGAGCTTGATGATGATGATGAAAACCTATACCAGGAAGGCATGCTGGAAAAATATCAACTTAGACCTGATTGCATTGAACACATTTGCCTTGCAGATTTTGCAGCAAATAATTCATATGCTCGCAAAACAAATACCAACTCAGATCCAGACCTGCTAGATGAAGAATCCCTTGATCCAGAAACTGTAATCAACAACCTTCCTAAAACCATAAAGTTGAAAAATAAATCAATGAACTTGACTCTCCGTTCAAGACCAGTCATAATCAGATCTCACCATTTTGAAACAGCCTGAGCAGTACTATCACTCCAAACTGTTACTGTACAAACCATGGAGAGATGAAACCAAAGACCTGTTGAATGAAGATGGTACATATAAAAGACAATACTTCAATTGTAGACCAACCTTCTGCGACAGAATGAACTATTATGAACCAAACAATGAAGAGTACACACAAGCTGTTGAAGAACTACAAGAAAATGGGCCTCCTGAAGATGCGTGGGCATCACTAGCCCCATAAACAGAACAACAGGAGAGGGAAGATAGATACAGAGGAGCACAGCAAGATCCAGAGTTTGAGGCCATTGTTCCTGTGCATGGAAATGAAACATCAGATCTTGGGTTGGTTGCTTATCATTATGAATTGGACAGTAGGAAGATATCAGCTCAGCAGTAGCTTAGTATGACAGTGTCTCTCAATACTGAACAGCAAGTAATCCACCAGTTCATTGTTGAATGGTGCATAGAAATGTCAATGACTTATAAAACAGCGATACGTCCAAAGCCATTCCATGTCTTCATTTCTGGAGGAGCAGGCACTGGCAAGTCGCATTTAATTAGAACCATAGTGCAGACAGCAAACAAATTGTTGGGTGTAGGGCAAGGAGAAGATGACATTGTTGTTATGGTCTGTGCTTTCACTGGTGTGGCTGCTTTCAACATAGAAGGCCACACTTTACATTCTGCATTCAGTTTACCAGTTAATCAGTCCAAGCGTGATGACTATATCAGACTTTCAGGAGAACAGTTGTCTAGTATGCGAGAAAAACTAGGAAATCTTTGCCTTTTGATAATTGATGAGATTTCCATGGTTGGAGCTGATCACCTGTATACTGTTCACAGACGTCTGTCAGAGATTATGACATCTGATGAGCCTTTTGGTGGGGTATCAGTTTTAGCTGTAGGTGACCTCTCCCAGCTGCCACCAGTCGCCCAAAGACCAGTTTTTGACACAGTTTCTGATTCTATTGCATCAATGTATGGTTCATTGTGGAAGAAAAATTTTAGAGTACTGGAACTTCATCAAATAATGCGGCAGAAAGATGACGTTGAATTCGCTGAGGCTCTTAACAGAATAAGATCATCTAAGCATACTGACAATGATATACAGCTCATTAAAAACAGAGAAACTGATGTTTCCTCACCAACATATCCTAAACAAGCACTGCATATATTTGCTTTCAATAAAGATGTTGATGAACATAATCGAATGTTAGAGAGCATAGACTCACCAGTAATTAAAGTGTCAGCTATTGACTCCAAGACAGATCAACAAACTGGTCATATTGAAAACATTACATTCGATGAAAAGAAGAAACCAGGTGGAATGTTGCAACAACTGAAAATAGCTAAAGGGGCAAGAGTTATGATGACCACAAATGTAGATACTTGTGATGGATTAACCAACTCTGCCACAGGAACAGTGACTGGTTTTCTACCTCAGCATCCAGATCCATCTGACCCTCAGTTTAATGATTACAGACCTAAATATGTCTTAGTCCACTTTGATGAACATCGAGTTGGTGAAAAGCTAAGATCCAAACTTCAGCGAATTGTTCCTGATGAGATATCCACACCTATTTCAGTTCATGAGGTAACTGTAAAACATAGAAAAGTAAGCGCAAAAAGGACACAATTTCCTCTAACCCTTGCATGGGGTGTTACCACTCATAAAGCCCAGGGTAGAACTGTTGATAATCTAGTGATATCAATGAAAGGAACATTCAAAGCTGGCCAAATGTATACTGCATTAAGCAGGGTAAAAACTAAAGAAGGTCTTTACATTCTAGGTGAATTTCAATCATCAAAGATCACCTCTGACCCCAGGACAGTCAAAGAAATGGAGAGAATTCGAAAGGATAACAAGTTTAAACTGAGTATTCCATGTTCTGTTACAGCACCATCAGATAGTTTCTTTAAAATCAGTGTACTTAACATTAATTCACTCTGTTCTCACCTCCAGTGCCTTTCAGTGGACCAGTACATCAGCACCAGTGACATTGTAGCATTGTCTGAAACCTGGCTTCACTGAAAAGTATCAACTGAGTCTTGAACTTAGTTCAGAGTACCATCTGTATCGTCAAGATTATTCTGTTCAAAACAAAAGACCTCAAGGCGGAGTAGCAACCTATGTGAAGAAGTCATTTCGTGTTGTATCAGAATTGCATTGTGAAGGTGTCAATTTGCAGTACCAGTCTCTTGTGTTGTCCTGTAGGATGAATCCAAGTAAATGTCTCATACTTATTCTCCTATATGTTCCACCAAATACACAAAATGTGTTGTTCTTCAAGCAGCTTGACAGACTAATCGGTCACACTCCTACAGATGCTGCTCCTACTATAATATGTGGTGACTTCAACTTGAAGTTGACAGATCCTAAAGCCAAATCATTAAATGAATTGTTTCGGTACCACGGATTTATTGATTACAGTCAGTCACCAACTCACAGAAAAGGAGGCTCACTTGACCATGTTTTCATCAATAAACATTTTGATGAATCAGAAATTACAAATGTGATTCCAATTCATTATTCAGACCATTTCCATATCCATGTGGCTGTGCCTTGGGTGAAACTTTTTTAAATATGATGCCATGGACCAGAGGAAAACCTGAATAGAACCTTTTGAACAATTTGAATAATTTCATAATAGATTTATATTCATAGTACATATCATATGATCATGTGAAAGCAAACACAATATATTTCTGACAAGATGCTTTGGTTCCTATGTTTTTTTTTTAACTTTCTGGATACACTTAAGTTTAATGATGAAAAGAATTAACTTTAAATGAAGATAAATTCTTAGTAACTACAATATTTCTTTAACTGAACTTATTCACATAAGAGCATAAATTCACAGCAGAGCGAGGGTATTACTAGTGAGCATTCGCTCACAGATTTCTTGTTAATTTTTCCTTATCTAAAAGTAAATTATAAATTAAACCCGATTTTACTTGAAACACTGATGTCAATATTCCGATCAGCATTCATTCAATGAATGTCATATATAAAACACTTCCTAATTATGCGATAAAACACTAGAATCCTTTGTGACATAATTAATTTTGTCAAATAAAAATCTGCTACAATACAGTGACAAGGATAACAAGTTTTGAAAAGAAATGTTCAAATGGTGACTGCTATACACCAAGTTTCCCATCTCCCCCCCCCCCTTCCCCGCCCCAATCACTAGCTATTGTCTTTTGATATTCATGAATCCCAGACATATATGAACTGAAAACGAATAAAACATACTTAAGAAAGCTGATGATTTTCAATAAAAATGTTTTTAAAAAACTTCTTTTGAAGTCAAAGTCAATATCCACTATCAAGGAGACGCGCGGTTTAATTGGAGTTATTCATGTTATGATGTATGATAATATGTAAATTAATTGTCTGAACCACCAAAACTTATGTCGTTATTACTTTTGTACGCTGTAAATTTTGATTGAATATTTATCATAGTTGCGAAGACTGAAGAATTTGTTTCAAGAACATATTTTCAACATGATTGCACTTTGTGACGTCATTTTTTTTTCAATGCATTGCGTCATTAATTTACATATAATGTAAATTTCACTGAGAAAGGTTTACATGTACATGGTTTTCATTTGCATAAAAATTGTATCAAATTATTTTTCAAATGCAGACTTGAATTTAGAAGACAATAAAAGATAATAAATCCTTCAGGTATAGGATTAAATAATTAATTTCTTTAAAAGTATAGATTTATTGTGGAGGAAAAGTGACGTCTATCCAAAAATGCAGCATTCTCAACTTCTGTTTTTTGTAAAAACGGATGTGGCCGCACTTTTGTAAGGTCATTTTTTCTCTTTAATATTAGAAATCGAGTTATATTTGTTCTTTCTGTCAAGTTTCGCATACATACTCGGATGCGGCCATATTTAAATATAGACTGGAAGAGGAGGAAACCGTCCAAAATAAGGGAATTCCGGAATATAAGACCGGTTTTGAACGTTATATAAATGAGAGGGCGCTTGACTTAAAAAATTGTTACCCATTTCACACACAGGGAAACCTCAACAGTAACTTGATACAATTGATACAATGTAAACCTGCGTTTAATATTTGCCGATTTAACAGGGCCGATTCTTGGGCTTCCCGTACCCAGTTCTTAAGCAATCAAAAAATACGAGTGCTTCTATAAGTATTAACCGTCATGGTAGCGCTCGCTTCGTGATCGGAAGGTCATGTGTTCGAATCACGGCCGCGACTGACCTAAGTCGTCAGCTTCTTTAAGTGATACATTCAATAGTAGTATGATTCAAGGACCCAATGTTCATATTGATTGTGACTGGTAAGTACTATAAATGTACAAGTTTTTCATTTATGCTTCTAGCGTATGCCATTTAAAGGTTTATGATGGAAGGGAAAGCAGCAATAGTCACAATAAATGCCAAGATTGGGACAATGGTTTGTTTGTTTATTATTTAACGTCCCTCTCGGGAATTTTTCACTCATATGGAGACGCCACCACTTGCCGGTGGAGAGCTACAAATTTTTGACCTATAGTCGGCACTTACGGCCATTGAGCAGTGAGGGATCTTTTTCGTGCCAGCACCTACTGCGACACGGGACCTTGGTTTATACGGTCTCATCCGAAGGACCGGTCTCCACGTCCCAGTGGGATTCGAACCCGCGACGTAAGGATCAACTCCTTACTCCGCGACTCTAGAGCGAATGCTCTAACCACTGCGCCACGCGGGCGATGGGACAAAGGTAAGCGCATACAAGAAATTACAGAGTGGGAGTACCTAGATTAAGACATTTTAATACCATATTATTATATCACTGATGTCCGTTTCCTCTCACATATATTCAAGGTAATGCTCTATAGTTAATATTTGAGACTTCTTATTGCTTGTTCCAAAATTATTATGTCTTCATGGTTGTTTCAATTATATTAGATGTTAGCTTTTTCATGATTTTGTTGTATGTGTTTGTCATGCAATTGACCAAATGCTTCATTAAGAGTGTCGGGTTCTAATAAGTTTAAGATATATCTGGTTGTTAGGAGGCCGTGGTTTTTTTTTTTTGTTTTTTTTTTTTTTTGGCACTCATTTGCGATTGCATACAAGAAACTGCAAGTAAGTGCTGTATACTTTTCGACTTTTGCATTTAGTTTGCACAGTGCAGATAAAAGTAAAACATAAGGACATAACATTTTAATATGTGAATTAAGATAGATTTGGATAGATATAATATTGGACAGATTTATTTAAAATGTTTGAATTGAAAAAAAAAATCATGCGGCAGGCAGAGAGCCGACACTTTGCAGAACTTCTAAACCGCTTAAGGGAAGGCAATGAAACACAGGCATGTTCTTTTCGCTTAAAAGCGTAATTCCGCTATTCAGATTTCCTCAATCCGATTTAAAATTCGTATTCCGCTTTTTTAAGTATCTCTATATTTTTAGATTATACCGTTTTTGCTTCACTTTATTCCTACTTCATTGATTAAATGTAATGTGCAATTTCATTGGTTATTGGATTTTAGAATTCAACCATTCGATGGAAGTTTTACTAGATGCATCGATCGCGGTAATGGATGCGAAAATTGTACAATGTTAATAAAGTCTAGAGAATCAAAATTGTTAAGAGATGTCGTTCCAAGTATTTATTCAGCCAGTTGTTGGAAGATTTATTGGAAATATCGATTGTTGTAATAAACGAATAAAAGATGTGAATTGATAATCAAGTGTCAACGGCTACGATAAAACGTTGGTAACAAGTAACATTTGTAATTTTTTTCTCCTTAAAATAGTAATTTTAGAGTGAAAACTATGTGCCAGGAAATGCTCAGAATGCAGGATTTTACACCATGTACCCCACAGCTTCTTGGCGCTAAGGCGGCCCACAGCCTATTTGGGGTCGTCCAGATAAATCCGCTTTTTTCATTTGACTTCAGAATCATGTCTGGTCTGGAAACAAAGGAAGATATCATCCTTCTGAGGCAGCGAACTATAGATAGGGGATCACCTGAATACAATCAGAAAGCATGTCCTCTACTAGTATTTGCTACTAACGAGTCTGTAAACATGTTCAAGAGTTCCGTTATTAGTACCTCTCCTAATCCAGTGTATATGATTTATGCCAAAGATAGGGTGGTTGGATCAACATCATCAGAAATGACAATAAAGTCCTTTGACTCATTCACAAATTTCTTTGACTCATTCACAAATTCAAAGAAATAAAAGACAAGAGGCCCAAGGGCCTTAACGGTCACCTGAGTACAATACAACAATTTAAACTGATAAATGAAGCTTTGCTGCCCAAAAGCAAGAAAAATAGTATCATCAGCAATAACAAAATAATTGGTCTAGTATCTATCTGCCCCCCCCCCCCCCCCATTTATCACTATTCCCATGCAGACTATTAACAAAATGTCTACTATTTAACCCCATATTATTACTTCTCACAATGGCCTCTCTTGGCCTTTGAAGAACATTTAAAAAGAGAAGTTATTTTTGTCTCATTTTTATTCATCTATTATTTCAAAGTCATTAAAACTATGAAAGTACTTTTTTTTTATTATACAATATATTTTCTTACATAATTCTCTTGTTCTGTTAAGCTTTCAAATACATTGATTAATTATCAAAGGTGAATGGCAAAGGGGAATAACTTTGCTCAGCAGAATATACAAGTTAATAGAGCCCTGGTCAGGACCAGAACACTTTGACTAAATGGTCCTGGTGTTCAAAATTCTGGTAAAAATACCCTTGCATATTAAAACTTTTACTCTGTGTGCATTGAACATCCCCAGAAGCATAGAAGATTTTCAAAGAAATGGATTTTCACCATATTATTAAATAAATAAAGCCCCATCTTTACACCAGAACATCTGACCCATTGGCCACCATAGGGACTTGAGACAATCTTAGCAAAATCGGGTATATAGTATGATAGGGTTTATACTATATACCTGATTTTGCTAAGATTCTCTCAAGTCCCTGTGTTGGCCACGAACTCACAATTCTGGAAGAAGCACCCTTTCTCATCATAACTATA